CAATTCCTTATGTTAGGCAAGTACGCCTACTTTATCTAAGAAATTTAATGGTGATTATAATTCTATCTTAGTATATATCTTAATAATATTTTGATTTCTAGTCCTATGCTTGCGGAGTCCTTAGGGAATTTACCACCTATTCTATGCGTAAGTTACTTTTTTACAATTTTATCTCTTCTATTGATTATGACTTCAAATAATTAATATGCGAAATAATTATAGCAAATTGGTGATGAAAAATTTCGTGACGAAACAATCCTAATTAGTTATAAAGCCGCAAGTCCTCGTGAATATCAATTACCTTCATATGCAACTAAAAATTTTGAAAAGTCTCCTTTTAAGAATCCTACTAAAGTTATACTTGAAGTTTATGATGATATGCCTCATTCCTGGCACGTAAGTAAAAATATTTTCTGAAATATTCTTACTTGTTGTAAACATATGGTACTTACAAAATTTTTTTTATTCATAATTTTATAAATGATCAATTATTCAGGTGTTATCGTTTTCCAAACCTTCTAAAATAGCATTTGAACGTTGTGGCGATTTTATAAAACGTGTTACTTCTATAGAAGATAACAATACTTCTATAATCGATCTTGTTAAAGAAGATGTAGTATCTCCCTCTACTTCTATTTCCCCATCATTTATTGCAATGAGAGTTAGTGCAAATGGTGAGATCAGAGAATTGAATGAAACTGATCGGGATTGTCTAAAATGGGATAAAATTGGCATAGTGCCTAAAGAAGAATTTACAAAGTGATATTATCTTATCGAGTTATTGGAATGTTTCAGATTCTTCACATATATTTAATGGCATAAAAGTCTGGAATATCGCAATAGTTACGTTGATTATTTTATCATGATCAAATTTTATCAGTAAAATTAATATTCATAGATATGTTAGGCATTACCTTCAAATTTCCATTGTAAAATACTGTAAAGTTTGTCACATATTATCAGTATAATTTTTTTACCTAGAAATGGGACAAAAACAGTGACACCAATAATTGAAGGTACAGTTCAAGATATCTTATGTGTGCAATATAAATCAATGATTTCCCATAGTACGAGTCAAGTTTGTTTTGATATTTAACAATTTTTTACATGATAGAATTTCTTGACACGAAATGATGTGATATGTAACACAAACTTTTATTATTATTACAGCATTATTATTATTATTATTATTATTATTATTATTATTATTATTATTTTGCTTTTTTAAACAAAAAAAATAAATAATAAAAAACTAATAAAATCAATATTTATTTCAATTTAAAATTTCAAGCCTCATACGAGCAAGTTATAAAACATATTGAAAGAAAGACAATTGCATATTCTCATTTTACAAAAATTAATAACCAAATGACACAAGAAGTAGTAAAATGAAGTTTATCTTCTTGCCTATCAGGCAGTATGAGGCGTATAAGACTAGTGATTTAAATTGGTTAAAATTTTTCAAATCGATTAGTTGTTGCCAACTATTAGTCACATGTTTTTAATAAATTTGATTGATCAAATAAATAATCACATGTTTCTTGTACTACATTTAATCGAATGATTGGCTCAGAAGATTTAATATTTTAAATTTATTATATGGATCATCCAAAGATTAGAATTTTCAAATCGATTATTTAAACCACTAGTTGGTTTTTCAACTAGCGATTTGTTTATCACTATAGTGCTCGGCAAAATCAAACAAAAACTCGATTATCGAGTTTTTGAATCTATCAACTTACAATGTTGTGCATTAAA